CCCCCACCAAACCCCGAACCCCAACCCCCAACCCCAAACCCCAAACCCTAAACCCTAAACCCTAAACCCTAAACCCTAAACCCTAAACCCTACGGAGAAGTACTCGGGCCCGTCGAGAGCAGCAGAAAGCATGGTGCGGCCCACGATGGGGTGGGCCCAAGTGGCAATGAAAAAAGGAATTTGAGAAAGAAAAATAAAAGAAAAAAAAAATAAATTCAAAGACAAAGAAAAAACCCTTTTGAAGCAAACCCTAAACCCCCAGCTGCTGCGCTGCAGCAGCACCCCCAGCAGCGGGGCCCCCCGCAGCAGCCCCAGCGAGACGCAGGCCCGCTGCTCCGCTGCTGCTGCTGCTGCTGCTGCTGCGGGTGCAGCAGCAGCAGCAGCAGGAGCAGCAGCAGCAGCAGCAGCAGCAGGAGCAGCAGCAGGAGCAGCAGCAAGTATGTGCATCAGAATCAAAGCAGCAAATGATGAAGACACAGAGTCGCTCGAGTGGTCGAAGAAATCTCCCCCCGCGCTGCAGAGGCCCAGCCGCCGGGCCTGAGCAGCAAACCCCAAACCCTAAACCCTAAACCCTAAACCCTAAACCCTAAACCCTAAGCCCTTGGAGGGGTTGAAAGGGTTTAGATGAACCCTAGCGGTTCTTCGCACCTGCTTGCCGTCCAAGTTGTCCAGAATGCCGTAAAGGATCCAGAAGAGCGCAGCAGCCACGAGTCTGCTGCTGTTGCTGCTGCTGCTGCTGCTGCTACTGCTGCTGCTGCTGCTGGGCTCGACGCAGCAGCAAAACGCAGCAGCAGCAGCGCAGCACAAACCAAAGAAAGAAATCAAATCCGGATGCATCCAACGCGGCAGCAAAGAACAAATGGAGTCGCAGAAAGGAGACACACAATGCCGGTAGAAGGCAGTCCCGCTGCTGCTGCTGCTGCTGCTGCTGCTGCTGCTGCTGCTGCTGCTGTTGTTGCTGCTGCTGCTGCTGGGGCTGCCGCTGCGGCTGGAACCGCCGGGGGTCACGCTGCTGCTGCTGCTGCTGCTGCTGCTGCCGGGCCCGCTCGGCCCAGGGGTAATGCTGCGGCTACAGGTGCTGCTGCTGCTGCTGCTGCTGCTGCTGCTGCTGCTGCTGTTGCTGCTGCTGCTGCTGCGCCGTGACCGCGGCACTGCTGCTGAGGACCCCACCATCTTCTGGGGAATGTAGGCGAAGGCCGAAATCCCAAACCCTAAACCCTAAACCCTAAACCCTAAACCCCGAAGCTTAGATCAGAATAACCTCAAGCAGCAGCACGAAGGGAAATCCTAGCCGTGCTCATAGCTGAGGGTTTAGGGTTTAGGGTTTAGGGTTTTCGGCTCGAAGTTTAGGGCTTAGGGTTTACGCTGCAGTTGAGGCAGCAGCAGCAGCGGCTCTGCAGCAATCAGCTGCTGCTGCTGCACTTCTGCTGCAAGCAGCTCCCTAGGGCGCCACCGCCTCAAACCCTAAACCCTAAACCCTAAACCCTAAACCCTAAATGTTGCGAAGAGCAAACCCTAGAGCCTTAAGCCTAGGCTGCGCATTAGTTTGAGTGGAATGAGCGGGCGAGCCGTCAGCCTCGAGGGTCTAGGGTTTAGGGTTTAGGGTTTAGGGTTTGGCATTTATCAACTAGGGTTTTTAGGCTGCTTAATTGCGCTGCAGCAAACGGAAGTGACTGGCTCTGTGCTGCTGCAGTGTCTATGGGGCTGCAGCTGTGGGGCCTCCGACCTAGGGTTTACAAACCCTAAACCCTAAACCCTAAACCGCAAACCCTAAACCCTCAACAATGAAGAGAAACACACAAAAGCTCCAAAAAATTTTCAGTGCAAACCAGAGGCAAGAAAACCCTAAATATTGAACCGTGAGAGCAAACCCTAAACCCTAAATCCTAAACCCTAAACCCTAAACCCCGAGCCCGGAGCAGCCGGGTTCCGTTTGCGGTGTACAGACACCTAATTGCTGCTCCGTAGATTTTATTTATTCGGCCAACTTTTTGAAAAGGAATAAAATTAGGGTTTAGGGTTTAGGGTTTAGGGTTCAGGGTTTAGGTCTCGGCCTGCAGGGTTTAGAACACGGATCACCGCTGCTGGCTGTTTTGCTGTTGCTGCTGCTGCTGCTGCTGCTGCTGCTGTGAATTATTTGATTGAGTAAAGTTATTTAAAACGAAAAGGCTTGCGTCAGTGCCTCCGCGGCAGCTGGGTGAAACCCTAAACCCTAAACCCTAAACCCTAAACCCTCTCCCGTAACGCCTTTTCCTTGCTGCCCGAATCGTCTCTGCCATCCGTCAACGGTTTGACTATGAGGGTTTAGGGTTTAGGGTTACGTCCGTGGGCCCGTAACCCTCGTTCAGGGTTTAGGGTTTAGGGTTTAAGAGGATAGCTTTTATCTTCACGATTTACGCCAAGAACAACAAAGAAGCCGCTGAGCTTGAAGAAACAGCAGCAGCAGCAGCAGCAGCAGCGGAACTAGCAGCAGCAGCAGCAGCAGCGGAACTAGCAGCAGCAGCGGCAGCACTAGCGGCAGCAACAGCAGCAGTAAGAGTAGCAGCTGTAACTGTGGCACTAGCAGCAGCAGCAGCAGCAGCAAGGGAACCAGCAGCAGCAGCAGTACCAGTAGCAGCAACAACAGCAGTACGAGGAGTCCCAGCAGCAGCAGCAGCAGCAGCAGCAGTAGCAGCAGCAGCAGTAGCAGCAGCAGCAGCAGCAACAGTGCATTATGGAAGGGAATAGCCAAAGTAGCAGCACAAGCAGCAAGCCAGCAGCAGCAGCAGCAGCAGCAGAAGCAGCCGTAGCAGCAGCAGCAGCTCTAGCAGCTCCCACAACAGCAGCAGCAAGAGTTGCAGCGGATGCCGTAGGAGGGAGAGCAGCAGTAGCAACAGCAGCAGCAGCAGCAACAGCAGCAGCAGCAGCAGCAGCAGAAGCAGTGGCAGCAGCAGCGCAGCAGCAGCACAGCATGAGCGTAGCAGCAGCAGCTATCTGCTGCTATCTAAAACCCTAAACCCTAATTGCTGCTGCGCGTTGCTGCCTTTCATCTATTTTCTGGGTTTTAGGGTTTAGGGTTTAGATTTTAGCAAACAGTGTTAAGCGTTTAGGGTTTAGACTTTAGGGTTTAGGGTTTAGGGTAGGGTTTATGGCTTAGAGTTAAGGGTTTAGGGTTTACAGATTAGGGTTTAGGGTTAAGGACTTTGAATTTGGCAGCTGACGCTGGCGTGTAAACCCTAAAGCTTAGACCCTATGCCGTAAACCCTAAACCCTAAACCCTAAACCCTAAACCCTAAACCTTAATTGTCCACGGGTGTTTGCCCCTACTGATCTGGGCATTAGGGCTTCTTGATGATTTGGGCGTTTAGAGATAAGGGTTTAGTGCTTAGGGCTAAGGGTTTAGGGTTTAGGGTTTAGGGTTTAGGGTTTAGGGTTTAGGGTTTAGTGTTCAGGCGTTTCATTTTGCTTACTGATCACACGGGAAGAGCGAACTCGCTGAGTTGGCCACAGTGAGGAATGTAGGGTTTAGGGTTTAGGGTTTAGGGTTTAGGGTTTAGGGATTAGGGTTTAGGGTTAAGGGTTAAGGGTTGACGGTTAAGGGTTTAGGATTCTTCTGCCAAATTAGTTTAGAGGGAGTGGAGGGGTTTTTACGTGTAAACCCTAAACCCTAAACTGGAAACCCTAGACCATAAAACGTAAACCCTAAACCCTAAACCCTAAACCCTATTTTATACATTTTCCGGGGGCCCCGGAGGGGCCCCCGGGGGCCCCCGGGGGCCCCCCAAGGCGCCCCTGGGGGGCCCCCCTGAGGGGAGCAGCAAAGCCAATTAGTCCTCTAAACCCTAATTTTTAATTTTTGAAAATATATAAACACTAATTTATATATTAAAGAATCAATTTAGGGTTTAGGGTTTGGGGTTTAGGGTTTAGGGTTTGGGGCTGGGCTGCGTTTGTTGCTGGCTGCTGGCGATTGCGAACAGCAGCAGCAAAAGCCGCAGCAGCAGCAGCAGCAGCAGCAGCAACACAGCGGACAGTTCGCAGCAGCAGCAGCTGCTGCTGCCGACGCAGCAGCTGCTGCAGCAACTGGAGCAGCCGCAGCAGCAACCACAGCAACTACTTGCAGCAGCAGCAGCAGCACTACAGCAGCAGGAGCAACAGCAATTAGAGCAGCAGCAGCAGCAGCAGAAATTAGACAAGCAGCAGCAGCAGCAGCAGCAGCAGCAGCAGCAGCAGCAGCAGGAAATGAGTTTCGCAGTGTCTGGACTGCGGCGCTTTTGCTGCTTGAGGTGTACGTACACCTCAGCAGCGCCGCTGCTGCTGCTGCCGGCCAAGTCGCCTTCGAGAAGTTTTAATTTTAAATTTGAAAATAAAATAAATACTTTTGAATTTCTTTTTGCTGCTCAAGATCTTTCGGATTGCCTTTTGCTGCTGCAGCAGCAGAAGCAGGACCTCCTGCCCTCAGCAGCAGCAGCAGCAGCAGCAGCAGCAGCAGCGGCGCGGCCTACTCTACGCGCAGCAGCAGCTGCAGCGCCACTACCCTCAGTCGCAGCAGCCGCAGCAGCAGCTGCAGCGGCTGCAGCAGCAGCAGCTCCTGCCGCAGCAGCGAGAGCAGCAGCAGCAGCCTCGCGAGCAGCAGCAGCTCCTGCTGCTGCTGCAGCAGCGCCACGAGCAGCAGCGGCTCCCGCAGCAGCAGCAGCTCCTGCTGCTGCTGCAGCAGCGCCACGAGCAGCAGCGGCTCCCGCAGCAGCAGCAGCAGCAGCAGCGCCACGAGCAGCAGCGGCTCCCGCAGCAGCAGCAGCAGCAGCGCCAGGAGCAGCAGCGGCTCCCGCAGCAGCAGCAGCAGCAGCAGCAGCAGCAGCAGCAGCAGGCGAGGGTTTGTGGCTGACTCCGACGGCGCGGCAGCGGAAAAAAGAATACTTCAAAATAATAAACCGCGAGGGTTTGGGGAAAAAAGACTGTCGAGGGTTTTGGAGTTTTTATTTAAATAAAAGAAAGAAAATCCGAAAAGCAAAAAGAACCATTTGAACCGGGTGTACGTACACCCCAGCCCGCAGCAGACGCAAAAAACCCTTTTCTCTTTTCCTCTTTCCCCCAGCTGCTCTTAGGGTTTAGGGTTTAGGGTTTAGGGTTTAGGGTTTAGGGTTTGCGACGCAGCAGCCCGCGCTCCAACTGTCAACGCTCAGTCAGCAGAAAACAAAGAGTTCCAAACTCAGTGCAAAAGTAGCCAGCTAGCTAGCTAGCTAGCCAGCTAGCTAGCTAGCTAGCTAGCTGGCTTTTTAGCTAGCCAGCTAGCTAGCTAGCTAGCTAGCTGGCTGGCTAGCTAGATATTTGTCTGTTGGGCTGCCTAGCTGGCTAGCTAGCTAGGAGCCCAGGAAGTTCGGAAGGTGGCTGGCTAGCTAGCCAGCTAGCTAGGCCCAAAATAGCTGGCCACACTTAGCCAGCTAGCCAGTCAGCTAGCTAGCTAGCTATGGCTAGCTAGCTAGCCAGCTTCATAGCTAGCTAGCTAGCTAGCTAGCTAGGCCCAAAATGGCTGGCCACACTTTTAGCCAGCTAGCCAGTCAGCTGGCTAGCTAGCTAGCCAGCTTCATAGCTGGCTAGCTCGCCAGCCTCACAGCTAGCTAGCTAGCCAGCTTCATAGCTGGCTATCTAGCCAGCCTCATTGCTAGCTAGCTAGCCAGCCTCAGAGCTAGCTAGCGAGCTAGCTAGCTAGTCAGCTGGCCAGCCTCAGAGCTAGCAATCTAGCAATCTAGCTAGCTAGCTAGCTAGCTAGCTAGCTAGCCAGCCAGCCAGCTAGCTATAGCTAGCTAGCCATAGCTAGCTAGCTAGCTAGGGCTCATCTCTGTAGGCTGAAGCGGCGCCATACTGAGACTGCCTTTGCCTGAGGTTGGCCCACTGGGAATTGGCAGGGGAGGAAAACGCTGAATTAGGGTTTAGGCTAGGGTTTAGATTAGGGTTTAGATTAGGGTTTAGATTAGGGTTTAGACTGGGGCGGAGGCCAGCGTTCAGGCCAGCGTTCAGGCCAGGGTTTAGGCCAGGGTTTAGCCTAGGGTTTAGGCTAGGGTTTAGGCTAGGGTTTAGGCTAGGGTTTAGGCTAGGGTTTAGGCTAGGGTTTAGGCTAGGGTTTAGCTTCGCCAAGTTCAAATAATATTTGGAATACAACAAAAGAGAAAAAGCAGAAATGAAAACCACCACAACAGTGACGGACATTTCCAGCCCCAGCCGGGTGTACAGACACCGCAGCAGCCCCAGCACCTGCGCGCAAACCCTAAACCCTAAACCCTAAACCCTAAACCCTAGGCAGCTGCTGCTGCAGCGCGCCGCCCCCGCAGCAGCAGCAGCCAAGCAACCCCCGACGCCCCAAACCCTTGAAGGGACCTTCAAACCCTAAACCCTAAACCCTCGAGCTTCCCCGCCACCTGTTCGCTTCCTCCCAAACCCTAAACCCCAAACCCTAAGCCCTAAACCCCAAACCCCAAACCTAAACCCTAAACCCTAAACCCCAAACCTAGACGCCAAACGCTAAACCCAAAACCCCAGACCCTAAGACCCTAAACCCCAAACCCTAAACCCTAAACCCCAAACCCCAAACCCCAAACCCTAAACCCTAAACCCTAAACCCTAAACCCTAAACCCTAAACCCTAAACCGTACGAGGTAGAGGAGCGCGAAGAAGTTGGCGTGGATGAGGGGCTGGTACTCGGTTTTGAGTTCCGTTTGAATCCAGTGTACAGACACCCGAGAAACCAGAGCAGCAGATAAATTCACATTTGAATTTATTTCCAAATTTCCCGACAGCAGCAGCAGCTCGGCTTGCTGCTGCGCGAAAGCAGCAAAAGAACGCCACAAGTAAAAGCCCCCCGCCGCCTCCTGCACGCCCAAACCCTAAACCCTAAACCCTAAACCCTAAACCCTCGAGCCCGCCTCGCAAGAACGCCCCAACGTGTTTGCAGCCCGCATGCTTCACACTCGAAAAACCCTAAACCCTAAACCCTAAACCCTAAACCCTTGGGCACGCGAAGCGGGCTTTCACGCGACCCCACCAGGATGTGCACAGCCCGCATGCTTCACGCTCACAGAACCCTAAACCCTAAACCCTAAACCCTCAGCCCTAAACCCTAAACCCTAAACCCTAAACCCTAAACCCTAAGTCCACAGACAGGGAGTTCGCGCTTTCACGCGCGGCCAGGAAACTCTGCACAGGCCGCCCTCTCCCCCAAAAACCCCAAACCCCAAACCCTAAACCCTAAACCCTAAACCCTAAACCCTAAACCCTAAACCCTCACCGCGAGTTCCGCCTTCAGCTGGTCCAAAGGTCTGCTGCAGTTGACTTTAATTGCTTCGATGTTGGCCTCTTCAAGTGCTGCTCCCATTTCGTGCAGCTGCTGCTCCATTTCAGCAGAAACCTAAACCCCACGCCCCAAACCCTAAACCCTAAACCCTAAACCCTAAACCCTAAACCCTAAACCCTAAACCCCCGTGGCAGCCGATCGGGGGCCCGCGCGGGGCCCTGACGCGCAGACAACCCCACCCCCAAACCCTAAACCCCAAACCCTAAACCCCCCACCGCAAACCCTAAACCCTAAACCCTAAACCCTAAACCCTAAACCCTAAACCCTAACCTCCTTCCAAGGGTCTGCGCCGGCGCAGTAAACCCTCGCGAGCTCCTCGCGGGCCTTGCCTTTCGCCAGTTCAATCCTAAACCCTAAACCCTCTTCTTCAACTGGCAAAGGGGTTTCCAAAGAAGACAAAACCTCGTGTTTGAAAAGCATTTCCCAACGACTCGCCACTTCCTGCTCGCAAACCCTAAACCCTAAACCCTAAACCCTAAACCCTAAACCCTAAACCCTAAATCCTCGACGTCGCACAAGCCTCCAGGATACGCTCCACACCGCAAGCTCCAGAAACGCAGCTTCTATCAAGCCCAGCCCCAAACCCTAAACCCTAAACCCTAAACCCTAAACCCTAAACACTACAACCCGAGCTGTACAAATCGAGACCATAAAAACCTAAACCCTAAAGACTAGACCGGAAATGCTAAAACCTCAAAGATCATAAACAACCTCAAAACGGTATAAATCCTAAACCCTAAACCCTAAACCCTAAACCCTAAACCCTAACCTGCGCAGTTTCCTTGCACTTGCTGCTCCACATCTTCAACCCTAAACCCTCGACTTCACTTAACTTCTTCGCCACTTCTGCAGAAAGTTCTGCGTGGAGGTCTACAGCGTCTCGCAGCGCCGCCACTTCGCTTTCAAACAGCGTCCACGCTGCGCCGCAAACCCTAAACCCTAAACCCTAAACCCTAAACCCTAAACCCTAGACGCTACGCCCTGAGCGCGCCACGCGAAGCCCTAAACCCTCGCGGGCTTTGTTGGGGGGATTCGGATGTGGGAGGCCTAAAGCGTGAAATTAGGGTTTAGGGTTTAGGGTTTAGGGTTTGGCATTGCCGGGATTCTTCGACTGGGACAGACTGAGGGTTTGCAATTGGGGGTTAGGGTTTAGGTTTCGGCTGCTGTAGGTTGGCAGCTGAGGGTTTAGGGTTTAGGGTTTGGGCTTGTGCTGCAGTTGTGGGACAGCTGCGTGGAATTAGGGTTTACAGCGAGGGTTTAGGGTGTTCCAGTGGCTGCCTGCTGCCCCCGCAAGCCGCTCTAGGGTTTAGGGTTTAGGGTTTAGGGTTTAGGGTTTACCGGCTTGCTGCCAGTCCAGCAGCAAACCCTTGAACTCATGCAGCGGCTTCAGCAACTCCATTTGCTGCTGCTGCAGATTTTGCCGCAGCAAACCGACGGCGTTGTCTGCTGCTCGCTGCATCGTCTCGGTGATGCTGCGCTGCGCGCAAACCCTAAACCCTAAACCCTAAACCCTAAACCCTAAACCCTAGGCAGCGGATAGCGGGCGCAGGTGGGCAACGGGCTTCCGGCGGTTGCAGATAAGGGTTTAGGGTTTGAGCAAGGGTTTAGGGTTTGCAGGAGCGTTTACCGTTTGGGCGAGGGTTTAGGGTTTGAATGAGGGTTTAGGGTTCTGAGGGTTTAGGGTATGAATGAGGGTTTAGGGTTTGGGCGAGGGTTTAGGGTTTGCGTGAAGGCCTGAGATTTGCGTCGCCGCTCGAGAGCCGCCCGGGTTCGGGCTCCGCGTCTCGGGGTTAGGGTTTAGGGTTTAGGGTTTAGGGTTTACGATGTTGGCGGAATGAAGTTCCAGAAAAAGGGCCTGGACCTTTTCAAAGTGCTGCTGCAGCTCTTCAGCACAAGCTGGCAGCAAAGTGTAATCCACTCCTCCGGGGCGCAGCCGCTGCAGCAGCGCCGCTTTGCTCTGCCTGCAGCAGCAGCAGCAGCAGCAGCAGCAGCAGCAGCAGCAGCGGGTGGGAAGCGGTAGCAGCAGCAGCGGGTGGGCGCAGCAGCAGCAGCAGCAAAAGGTGGACAGCCGCAGCAGCAGACACCGGGAGGCAGCCAGAGCAGCAGCAGCAAGTCAAAAAACGCAGCAAATGCAGCGGACAAGTCCTCTCTACTTCTCTCGCTGCTGCTGCTGCTGCTGCTGCTGCTGCTGCTGCTGCTGCTACTGCTGCTGCTACAGCACCCAGTGCAGCAGCAGCAGCAGCCACAGCAGCAGCCTGAGCAGCCCCAGCCGCGGCTCCAGCGCCCCCGCCCCCCCCCCCCCATCCCCACGAGCCGCAGCAGCAGCAGCAGCAGCAGCA